GCGGAAGGTCCCACCCCAAAATGCCGCCCCCCCACAGAGGCGGCAGAAGGTCCCGCCATAGAAATACCGCCGCGGTCGCCGCCCCCCAAATTGCGGCGCCCTAGGCAACCGCCTAGGTTGCCTAATGGGTTGCGCTGGCCCTGTCTGTGGTATGTAAGATCTCACATTGTTCCGAGATCCCTCTGATGAATGACCTTTGCACACTTAATACTGCCTTTGTTATCTTTTAAACTTGCACTTTAATATTAATTCATAAATATTTGTCAAGGTTTATACTCTGAGAATTAAATGTAATACAACACAAATGCTTTCCAGTTGGGGGAGCATGGGTGGGAATGAATCTCATAGCAAATGCAGATGTCCTGGGGCCCTTACTTAACTATTTTCATTTTAAAATGGTTGGCATTTGTTTTTTTCCCCTTCGTTCACTGATTAGAGTTCTAAATTTATCTTTACTTTGTGTGAAGTGTCTACTGAGAATTAAGTAAACCTTGACAGTGCTCACTGTTTGGGAGAGACTGACTCAAAATAAGAATGCAAATGAATAATTCTTTACGCTCTGTGCTTTTAAACATCTGTCATATTTACAACCCCATATTATCGGAATACATTTGTTTTTTCAAAGTTTTATGGAACTCGTAATGCAGAACTGGTTCTCAAACACAAGTTAAAGCCCACGGCCAACTGTACCTGGGAGGACTGGGTCAGTAAAGCCAAATTAAATTAAATTCACTCATCTCTTGGTATGTGTATTTTTTTGTTAGTTAGGCTTTAGCTGCACTACAAATGCAGTAGGACATATTACCTTATATTCTGTGGAAAATTTTTGCCACTCGAGAACACTGGCAGAGTTTCATATTTATTAATCCTGACTCACAAAATCTACTTCCATTATAATGTGGTGGTTGTTTTATGAAATTCAGACTATGTTCATATCCAGAAAAGGAGAAAATATGGCTAACAAGTAGATCATGGAAATGTAGCAGAATTCTGAGTTACAGATTTCCATATTCCATTCTAAGCAAGAAAAACATTTGTGACTTTGAGCAATAGGTGCTAAAATGTTTGTGATTTCCAATACTGTTAATTATATCTGGGTACATAATCACTATTATATACAACCAATTGGACAAGCAGACCCCCCACAACCTCTGAAAAGCTCATTATCAGAAGCAAGCTCCCCACAAACCAGGAGTCTGGACAAACCAACTCAAAGTGGCACCCTGACAGAACAACAGATGCAAAACCACATATCTCCACTGCTACAATGATCAACTCTCCCCGCCCTCGCCCCCAACACACCTTTCAAGCTCCATGGATCCTACACTTGCCTACCACAACATGTGGTGTACCTCATCCAGTGCACTAAATGCCCAGATAACAACGATGTGGGTGAATCTAGGCAATGCCTAGGCTCTTGAATGAACTAACGCAGGAAAATGAAAAAAAGACAAAACACCCTATCACCTATTACTTTTCACTAAGCAGTCACACTACATCTGACCGATCAACCCTCATCCTCAAAGAAAACCTGCACAACACTCTCAAAAGACAAGCCTGGAAACTTAAATTCATTACTCTTCTAGACACTAACTATCATAGATTGAACAGAGACACTGGATTTATGGCTTATTACAACAATCTGTAACCCACTAAACCCCTCTTTATGTTCTATGGCTGCAGAAGTGTTAACAGGTGACCTTACCTTGAATAAAAGAACAGGAGTACTTGTGGCACCTTAGAGACTAACAGATTTATTAGAGCATAAGCTTTCGTGGACTACAGCCCACTTCTTCGGATGCATATAGAATGGAACATATATTGAGGAGATATATATACACACACACACAGAGAGCATAAACAGGTGGGAGTTGAATGGTCCCTTACAATATGTGCTAACTACTTATGCTAAACCATCTGCTGTGGCACCGGAAGAAGAAGAGCTCCGTGCGGCTCAAAAGCTCATTTCTCTCACCAACAGAAGTTGGCCCAATAAAAGATAGTGCCTCACTCACCTTGTCTCTCTAAGCAGCAAATACTCATTTAACCTTTGAATTCTTATAGTCATAGCTTTTGTAGGAGGCGTTTTATTACCGTGTCATCTTTGTAACAAATAAAATCAAATTCACTTGACTCTAAGGCTTTCATGGCAATAAATTATTAAGTGCCGTCTGCTATAATTGTGTCTTTTCAAACCAAATCTTGGAAGGATTAAAGCAATATGATATAATGGCAGGCTGGTCTTTCTTCACTACAATAGCTTGCTCTTTAGGAATGAAGGATTCTGGTTTAATCAGCTGCAATCTAGTGTTATTTTCTTTTATTCAGAGTTATGTCTCAAGATTGTTACAAGCACAGAGGAATGCAGCCCTTTAATTTACAGGTGCCATCATATTTTACCAAACTGTTTTAGATTATTTCATTTTAGTGTTGGCTTTAATATATATTTAATCCCCATTATCTAATGAAGCCACTCACCCATTGTAACAATTATTTTATATAGCTATCTCTATAGAGCTAATTATAGAGTACATGCAGGGCTTAAATTCTCAGAGTATTTCTTGGAGCCTCTTATACTCCCAACATGCTAGAAAAATTCCAGGGGGATTGAAAATGTTTACCGGTACTCCGCTCTGGACATTGTATATTATTGTGTATTGCTGCTCTGCATGTATGTATAGTGAAATTTTGATTATCCAGACCACAGTCACCCGAAACTTTCAGTTCACTGCAGGTCGGATATGTCCACTGATGTTTGGGTTGAAGTGTTTGAGCAATTTTTTAGTTTCTAATGGCCACTGCCCTCAGTACTCTCATTTATCTGAACCTTTGGTTATCTAAATGAGGTCCTAGTTCCGTTTGAATACTCAAGGTTGCCAAATATAATCCCTTAAAGAGGTTTTTGATGCATTAAAAAAATTATTATATGAATATACATACATACTCAATTTGACTTTGAGTATAGAATAGAAAAGCTGAAGCAGAAATCTGCTGTGAAATAACCCCTCATGTGCTAAAACTAAACATCAAGGTAGAGCACAAGATTTTCATTCCCGAAAAGTAGTAACAAAATGTATTAGTGCCAAGATCAATAGCATTTGGGCACTGTCAGACTTTTAGCTATATATTTAACTCAAACCCATGTTTTACATTGCTGTTACCTATGACTTAAATACAGCTTCAGAGATTGATGAATAGTTAACAGAGACCAGAATGGAAGATAATTTGTCACTTTTAACTATTATTTATTATACATATAGCACTGAAAACGTACTCCACCCTACACAAATAAAAGATGAAGGAGCTCCCTGCATCAAAGAGCTTACAATCTAAAATAGAGACCTAGAGGGCTCAATATTCGAGTATGACCAAGCTGTGCTTGCCACCTTTGCAACCCCAAAACCTTGCGACAGCCAAAGGCCCATTTTGACTTTGTGCATAACTTGGAATAGCATAGTCCAGTCATGCTCCATTCCCCCTCCCCCCCCAATAATCCCTGTACCAGGGATAGAGATAGGAAACGGTGGTGTAGAGCTGGCTAAGGTGGTTCTATGCCAGATAGGGATTCCTCATGCTGGGGGATTTCTCAGCTGCCAATTTAAAGCGGCTTTACAGCCCTTTTGTGGCATATAGAACCCAGGGTATGGCGAGGATGTGGCCCAGAGACTGCTGGATACACTGGGAAATCCAAAGGAGGGAATCATCCATAGAGTTCTTAAAACATTATTCTCATGAACTCATAGCTTCTGGATGTCATGGAAGAAGTGATCTAACAGTGTTTTGGAAGAGAAGAGAGCGGAGGCTGTGTTAGCTGGGATACAGCAGTCACTTTGTAAGTATACAGGACTCTATTATTTCATCACCAATGTAAAAAGCTATGCATAGGAAAATTTCCACAGAATCAGTGAGGGGATTTGAAACAAAAAAAAAAAACTGGTAAACAAATGTGTAGTTTTCAAACAGCCATTATTATGCAAGTCAGGTATAATTACACAATGTACTGTAGGAGCATGGAGCACCTAAATGTATTAAACTTTGAAACACTGGGATAAAGATGCATCAGGATAGGCTTTTCTACAATATCTACAATTAATTCACACACATAAATACTAAAAGTTTTCCAAAATGAGTGAGTTAGTGCAAAGTTCTGGAATTTATTGTACTGCATCTTTATTTTAATTAATTCAAAATCAGAAGGTCCTGCTTTCACTTTTCCTTAAAAAACAAAATTCAAAATATCAAATACTCTACCCACCTCTTTTATGCCATCAAATCTTGCCTTTCAGCACTCCCAGTTCCTGTCAGCTCAAGAACGACAGATCAAACCTGTGTCTCAAAGTCTGATCCCCTGGCTTATAGTGTACCATACCACTGTTAAGCTAGCTCTTATTTTTGTCTGCTTAGAGGGCCCCAGTTAACATAAGAAACATAAGAACATAAGAACGGCCGTACTGGGTCAGACCAAAGGTCCATCTAGCCCAGTACCCGGTCTACCACCAGTGGTCAATCCCAGGTGCCCCAGAGGGAGTGAACCTAATAGGTAATGATCAAGTGATCTCTCCCCTGCCATCTATCACCACCCTCTGACAAACAGAGCCTAGGGACACCATTCCTTACCCATCCTGGCTAATAGCTATTAATGGACTTAACCTCCATGAACATATCTGAGTGCCTGACAAATGTTAAATCAAACTCCACAAAGCCCCATGAAATGGGGATAAAATTAGCTTCATTTTATAGATAGTGAAGTGAGGCTCAAAGAAAGAAGCAATTTGAGCAAGGTCACACAGGAAGTCTGCGACAAATGTAGGAACTGAACCTACATCTCTCAAGTCTTAGTCTGGTGCCTTAACCAAAGTTATCCTTCAACTCAAAAGAATCCCTATAAATGTAAATAGGAAAAAAAAAGGGATCTAAAAGACAAGCCCTTTTCAAAAAGTAGCAGACTGACTTGGAAAAAAAACAAAACAGGACATCTTTCACTTGGTTTATATTCTTACCTAGAACGTCTCTCTCATGCTCAGGGACAAGCACTTTCCATTTGGATTCATCTGAATCACTGAAGTCAATATTGATTAATCGATAATTTGGAGCATGGCGGTTTGTCTTGAAAGTGAACACCGTTCCCTCATTGGTGACATAGTCATACTCGCCATCAAAGTTGTCTATCAGCTTCACCCATTGAAGAATTCCTAAGAGCAAACAAATCATTCATATTAATTCCTTACTCTTTAAACAAGAAACATTTTAATACTTCACAATAAAGTTCTTCTGACTGCACCGTAGCGTCTTCCTCCTTCTGCAATAATGACTGTATTAGTTATTCCTGCATATAATCGCAAACAAGCCTTGTGGTGAATACTTAATGAATAGCAGCAGCGATCTTACCAATTCAGAAATGAAATTCCAACACATTGTTACTTTACAGCATTTGGTACTTACCCAAAGGAAGATCAGACATCAGTATTAATTAAAAAGTAATTTTTAAATTTGTGTGGCATGAATCTTTGATTTTCCTAGGAACTTTTGAAAATGCTTCATTGGGTAAAATAAGGGCAGTTTGCTTTTAAATCTGAATTGGCTTGATTTTGTCACTTTATATCACAACCTCAGAATTGAATAAATTTGGGGATGGGAACAGACTGCATGACAAATTCCAATACTTTTCCTCTTACATTTTACTATGTTTATATAGGTATATAGGACTCTAGAAAGAAAAGAAGGCAAGAATAAACCAGATATACAATATTTTATGCTATGTCCAAAACCTAACCAATCAATTACACTTCTTAGATGCAGCATCTGCCATACTGAAAATCAGATCCTTATTAAAGTAGAGGATACAAGAACATCACCACCAATTGCCTGCTTGGGGGATTCAAAAACATCCAAAAGAACTGAGGCTTGATTCTATGCCATCAAGGACAGAGACTGTCACAGTTTTAAAGGCCTGAAGGGATCATTGTGATCATGTACTCTGACCTCCTATTTGCACAGACCACAGAACTTCCCCAAAATAATTTCTAGAGTATAACTTTTAGAAAAAAACCCTAATATTGACCTACTATTGTCAATGATGGAGAATCCACCACAGCCCTTAGCAAACTGTTCCAATGGTTAATTACTTTCAGTTAAAAATTTACACCTTATTTCCAGTCTGAATTTGTCTAGCTCAACTTCCAGCCACTGGATTGTGTTAGAATTTCTCAGCTAGACCGAAGAACTCATTATTAAATATTTTGTTCTGCATGTAGGTACTTGCAGACCTAGACTTTTCTTTGTTAAGCAAAACAGATAACCCATATGTGTAGGTTAAGTTGATATACAACAGGGATTTGCAACCTTTGGCACTCGGCCTGCCAGGGTAAGCACCCTGGTGGGCCAGGCTGGTTTGTTTACCTGCCGGATCCGCAGGTTCGGCCGATCGCAGCTCCCACTGACCACGGTTCGCCGCTCCAGGCCAATGGGGGCGGCGGGAAGTGACGGCCAGCACATCCCTTGGTCCACGCTGCTTCCCACAGCCCCCATTGGCCTGGAGCGGCGAACCACAGCCAGTGGGAGCCACGATGGGCCAAACCTGCGGACGTGGCAGGTAAACAAACCTGCCCGGCCGCCAGGGTGCTTACCCTGGCGTGCCGCATGCCAAAAGTTGCCGATCCCTGATATACAATGTACTGGCTCCATAAAACACCACATCAATTTATTTTTAAATCACCCCCCATTCAGTAATATGAACTGAAATAATGCAAGAAAAGTAGAGATTATAATTGAGCTTTAATTGCTGCAAGTAAAAAAGCCAAAACAATCACTAAGAGAGCTATTGGGTGGCTCAGGCCACTTTAACAGCATTTAATGTAACAAGTTAGTTTATCAGAGCCTTCTAATGCAACAATAAAGCTAACTTTTCTTAATTGCCATTCTGGTTTGAGAAACCTTCCTCCTCTTTACATGAAAGGTGATCTATGCACCAACTAAATCTATTTATATCACAGCAATACACTTTTTTTTATCATTTACTTTTAACTTATATTAAATAATTTATAGTGAAATGAAGGCCGCTTGCGAATTGCATATTGGATCAGACCTGCGTTCTATCCAATTTGGTATTCTGTCTCTGACAGTGGCCAGCACCATGTGGAAAAATCCTGTCTCCAATGAAGTCAATTGGAGTTTTGACATTGACTTCAATGGAGCCAACAGTTTACCCCAGATGCATAAAAGGATAGTGCAGATATGATGATATGGGATAATCTGTGTTTTATTAAA